AAAACTCTTAATACATCTTAACTGATTAAATACACTATAAAAAAAAAGACTTAAAGTCTTTTACCCTAAGGAGATTACAAGTGAGCCACATAAAGATGACTTTTTCACTTCTGTGTATAATAGATTAAGCTATTAAGTTTATATATAAGGTTATATATGAGGTTTTGCCACTCCCTCTTATCTCCTCTAAAAGCAGGGTCACTGTTGGGCGCAAGGAGGGGCAGAGAGGAAATGTGGTTATAAAAATGTGCACTTAGCTAAGCCACAGCTCTGAATTTCCCAGAGGATACTCTGGCCAGCAGATGCACTTACGAGCAGTGTCAAGCTGCCCAGACCAGCTCACAAGCCAGTGTTGGGCAAAGGACCAGGAAGCCATAACTTTCTGCTTATGGCTTTTGCTGAGGAAGTAGAAATTCGGCCCATTATAATAAAAGATGTACTATGTACATTTTTGGTATCATTATTGTTTAGGAAAGTTACTGATGAAGCATGTTTGATTCAATTGAAGGAGTCTTGAAGAGCATCCTCCATCTAATTTTTCTGTACTGTTTTCCTGTGGATTTCTTCTATAAAACATTATTTTGATTGCTGAAAGGTTGGTTTTTTCCCCTGAATTAATACCAGTAACATGCTCACATGCTTGTCCTGTCATTACATGCTCCAACTCTCTTGTAGCCCACTTTAGTCACTGGAAGCTTCTCTAAAGTCTCCCTGGAGCCTTCTCCTCTCCAGGCTGAACAACCCCAACTGTCTCAGCCTTTCTTCTCGAACAGGTGTTCCAGCCTGCTGGCCATCTTCATGACTTCCTCTGGACTCACTCCAGAGGTTCATGTCCACCTTAAATTTCATTAATAAAAGATCTCAAGGTCTTGGACTGGGCAGAATAATTCCTTTAACATGTAGCATACATCTTTATACTGTTTTGAAAGCTTTTTCATTGTGACAGTGGCATCTCTAGAGACTATTTTTGGGCTTGCTGGAGATGCTAATGGTAGTGTTTGTTTTAGATAGCTGGCTTTCTTCCAATTAATTATAGCTCTTTATGAATCATTTTGTTTGGAAATCTCTGACAGAGATTACATGAGCATGACAGAAGGTATTCAGAAAGAACTTAGCAATTATAAATTGTCAAATGCTATTAGAAGGAATTGTCAACATCCTTGCTACAGACAGATACAATCTTTTAAATGCACCCCAGCACAGCAACAGTCTGGTGATAGTCCACTTAGTGTGTGATTTTAGCCTTGGTGAGAAAGTATTAGGATTTTAAATGGCTGTAACATAAAATGCCATAACTGTAACCAGTATCTGATTCAGGCATCACTGAATGGGTTGTGACAGGTGATACAAGCAGCAGTTGCTGTAGGAACCATTCATTTGGATTTTGGTACTGCATTACAGCACATCTACAGGTGGTTTTGGGAATCCTTTCAAATTCCTTGAGTAGCATATTCCATATTAATGGTTAGTTGAACCAGAAAAATGAAAGATGCTTGATGCTTGAATGTTACTGATCTGCAAAAACAGAGAGGAAATAGGTCTTTCTTATCAGGAGTGTGGTATACATAAACTGCAAAGGAATTTAAATTGTGATCAATTTCATCTTCAGGCTCATGACAATCTTTATATGTTAACCTTGTACATCACTTTATACAGTCAACAACACCTACTTTCCTACCCATTTTGAAATGCAGGGTCCAAAAATATTAGAATCTCAAAAATAATTATCCTTACTAAATTTGGCTTCTTTTTCTGAGGAAAATCAGACAAAAATTATAACAAAGGCCTTTTGACTACGTCTTTTGGCAGGCAGGGACTGTGAACAGTTTCTGCACATCAGCCTTGTCTTTAGGGCTAAAAAAGGGGCAAGTGTAGGTCCAAGCCCTGTACATGCTGCACTACAGAAATGACAGCAGGTGTTGACACAATTATTTTTGAAGCCAACTGTCCCCACTGTACATCAGCTTCCAAAGTTTGCTGTCTGGATATCACACCAAGCACTTCACATGTTCACTACACCCTCACTGAAATGTATAAATAACCAGATCTCCCTCTGGACATCTGCTGAGGAAGAAAATTCACCCTGTGAAAACATGTGGAAATTAAATGCTTATACCAGGACTGAAGTCTCTGCTTCCTGCTCTCAGATGTGGCCATGGTTGTCAGGAGGTAAATTTAAGACCTAATGTTTTAAATTTGGTTCCTCTGCTCCACTCACTGAGTCCCTCCCACCCCTCAATTTCTTTACTTTCCAGGCTTCCAAGTCCATACACTGAGGAAAAGCTTGCAAAGGAACACTGAAATAATCTATCCTGTGGGATATTCACTTTTGAGAGCGAGCCCCAGGGGATTTCCCAGGGGAGGGAGAGGGTGCCAGTTTGCTTGGGATCCCTAATTATAAAGCTTTCCAGATCTGCCTTCCTCCACAGGTTATGCTCAGTCATAAAGGAAATGCAAATGGGAATTTACCTGAAATGACAACACTCTTTTTCAACTTACATGTACCACTACAAAAATATTCTCTACAGATCTTCTAATCCAATATTTTAAATCCTTTATGAGTGATTTGAATTCCCTGCACAAAGCACTAGGATTAGCACTCCTAGGTTCTAAAACAACACACAGGCAGCAACTCACTCCCATTAAAAGCCTAACTAAAGTACAACAGGAGCTGATCACGACTCACTTTCAGGGGTTTTATTTTCAGCCCTGCCAAGTCCCTCACCTCACATTGTTCCTCTGGTTTGGGGAAGCTCATCTAGGCATTCCTTGAGGCTTGCACTTGCATGTGGCAAGGTTTTATTCCCTGCTGGTGCATCAGGGAAGCTTAAGGGCCAGAGCCAAACAACTTTTTTAAAATGGGAGACTACCTCTGAGATTGAGAGATTCAAGTTCCTTTCATCATGACTGGTTACCTATGGCTGGTCTAGACACAGAACTGAAAATACTTGCTTCAGCACATGTTTTCCTGTGATCAAGAGAAGCAGACACACTTCCAGATAGATTTCAGTTTTAGTTGTCTGACTCATCTGATCTGAGAAACCTTTTAGCTCAGATAGCTCTTCCTGCCTCACCACTGAGCACATCTTGGGGCTGAGTGTCTGAGCTCCCTGGTGGCTCCTCTTGCCCCTCCTGTTAATGACCCCATCCTGGAGCAAGAGCCAGAGCAGAGCTCAGCATCTGTGAGAGGGACCTGCAGGATTCTCCTCTTTTGCATTTACACACTGAGGGAATCACGAATAACAAAATGCAACAACCACTTCCTTTCTCAGTTCCTTCTTCCTGAATATTAATTTGTCCTTTGGTAGCAGGCCAGGAATTCCTACATGTGAAACAGAACAATATCCCTGCTGTCACTGATTTAGTGTCACAATTCCTATTAAATTAAGCCCCGTACTTCTAGCCTTGGAATGTGGGTGCCAATCACAGGCTGAGTTTTCCATGCTATCTGTTCTGTATTATCTACATCACAGACATTCACCAATGCTCAGATATGGCATCCAATTTACTCTCTGTAGGCAATTAGAGCAGGTACAAGAGAAAGGACAAATTTAAACTAAGTAATTTTAATGTGACTAGCATTTGAAGATTCATCAATACAATTTACATCCCAGGAGCTTTCAGAGTGTGAGAATTCCCTAAAGAATCTATCTGGGTGAATTAACTTCAGGAAAAGCATCTTCAGGCTATTGATCAAACATCCAGTCATATATTTCTCTGTCAAGTTAGGTTTTGGCTGCAACTTTCAGGACACTGAAGAGAAAGATTTTTGTAAAATGACATTTTTTCCAAGCTTCTATTTCACCTTCCTTGTTTCTGAAACCCTCATTTGAAACCCAGGAGACATTTTCCACTGAAGGAAAACTTCACTTGATTCACAATAGGGCACTAGTGAAACTGGAATGTGGGGCTGATTGAAAACCTTTGGGAATGAAAAATTGGAATGTTATTAAAACCTACTGATTCTAGTATGCCAAGAGCATTCCCTTTCACTGTGGCAACCTAAAGTCAGAGCCTGCTGGGAATCAAGTCCACAAACATTAAGGACTTTTCCCTGTGAACAAACTGTGGGAGTGATTGTTCTCTGGCCATCCATGGAAAATACTCCACTTAGTGTTAATTAGGTTGTGCAGCAGCTCTCTGCAGCCTCTTGGGCACTTTCTACATAGGACAAAACAAAACCTAGAAGTACCTTTTTTCAGGCTGACTAAATCCCAGGAAAATCCCTGCCTACAGGTAGGTGGCAGGCTCTCTCCTATCTGCCTCCCCAAACGAATTACAAAGCCTTCTTCAAAGAGCCAGGGATGGGCTGTGTCCAGCCGGGAGGTGATGATTCACAAGCAGCTGGGACCAGCTTCTGAGCTGCAACACAAAAGCCTCAAGGAAACCTTTCTTTCCTGTTACTTACACTCAGAAATGGAATTTTGTTGATGAGTAATCAGCAAATATGAGAGAAAATCTAGTGAGAAACAGTGTAATTCCATAGTTCAGAGAACTGCATCAGGTATAGGGAAGAATAGGTAACAACAGGCATCTTAATTCTAGAAACTATATTTCTGAGAAATTCTCATAAGCATTCAGTTTCTTTTCATGCTGTGTTTTAAATTTTCTACAATTTTGACTTCTCTGCATGTGTGTTTTTCTGATGAGCATAGAAGGTGAGAGATGTCAGACTGATGCTGACAGAGGTACAAATCCTCTGTTTAGGCATTGCTGGCTGACTGTCACCCCTTTCTATCCACCCTTAATAAGATAAAAATCCCACTGCACTTTTCCTAGTAAGGCATGCCTCTTTGGTCCAGAAATAGCATGGAGAGTGATCACTTCCTCCCACTGCCTGCTCACAGTGCTTCACGGCAGTGTGGGTGACAAACAGGTACTGGTGCCTCTGTTCCGTCAGGAGAGTCTTCATTACGTGGCAAAAAATGTCAGAAACACCGGAATTCATCTCATTAAATGCAGGCATCCCAGGCACAGAGCCAGTCATTTTGGCTGTTTAGTTCATGGAGAGAAAGAATCAATTTTGAAGCAGTCTAATAAAGATAAAATAGGCCAGGTGACAGCTTCAAAAATGCCTATTTTCCTGGTTTGGTTTTTGCAGGAACTCCAAGGGTGATTAGCTGTGATGGAAGCAGCCATACTGAAGACAACAAGGGTAAGAGGATACTAATCACATTGCTTTTGATAATAATTCGAGATGAGATGACTCCTTATTCTCTTCTATCCCTCAAATACCTACGACTTAGCTCACTTTGAGCAGTGGCTTAGGAAAGGATTTGCATTAAAGTCAAGACACCTTTTTTGTGGGAACATATTGAGAAAAGGATGTGGGAAAAAAATGTGAAAGCCCTCACCTCTGCTCATTCCTCCAGAGGAGAAGGAGAAGCCACTGTAGACAGCAATAGGAGTACCAGCAAATATCAGCAGAGAACTGTGCTGTGGGTCAAGTCAGCATCCTGGGAAAGACTTTGGCAGTCCAGTAAGATGTAGGAGGACCACAGACAGTTCTGCTCTGTCTGACTGGCACATGGCCCTTTGCAGGCCTCTAACAGCAGCTGAAGGAGGACAGCAGGGGGGTCTGCCTGGACTTCAGTGATACCAACCTGTTAGGGCTCCAGCTTTGATGCTCTGAAGCTGCTGTTCCTGTTCTGTCACACAATCAAACACATCAGAGAGAAGCTGAGCTTTGAGATTTGATTCTTAACATATCATGGTGTATAAGAAATCAGTATCAGGCAAAAAAGAAAAAAAAATGTGGGGAGGCAAGCATAAAAGAGAGGATCAGGAAAGATAAGTGCAGGTCTTGATCAAGGTGGCACTCAGCATGTTCTTCCAGTGTCCACATTGTCTTTCAGGAGCCATCAGTTTCAAGACATCAATTTGTATTTGAGGCCTTAGTCCAGCAAATTGCTAATGCAGATTTTCTCCCTTCTGACAGTTAGTCTTATTGATGTTGAAATGTTTTGAAGTTCATTTTACTGCCTTTTTGTTAATTTCCTGCTGTAGTTAGTCTAGCTTTTTACATCAAGATATTTCAGCCCTTTCTCAAAGCATACCCATTACTGGGGTTTTTTTCAATTTTTTTCAAATTCCAGTTTCATCTTTAAAAATTAATGAATTGAAATAAATTTGTGCTGCACTGCTAATAAATATCTCAAAGTCTGAAAGCAGCATTTGCATAGTAAAAGTCCCCAGTTTCCCCAGTAACAAAACTATGAGGTGCAAACAGTAATTACAGAATTTTGGCTATCTTTCTAAGCCACTCTGCAATATGACATAATTTGAAAATGAGACTGAAAAAGCATGTAAAGAAACAGATATTTTGTGTGTACAAGCAGCCATATTTTTTACAGGTACAGTGCAACAGGCTCAGCATCACCCACAGGCATTAGTAAATCATGGTATCAGAAACATGGAAAATCTTCAGTTGGTAAAAACTCACAAGCAGGAAAGCCTGAATCTCAAGTAAGCTGCAAAAGTGTACTATTGACATCAGTGACAAATTGTTCACCCTTTACTGGTGTCTATAAATGCATAACTGAAGGTTTCATCTCATATCTGGTTTTCATAAACACACCTCATATATATTGCAGGTAGACTCATAAAATATCTTATTTTGAAAGAGGTCAAGTGTGTATGTGAAGTTTGTGTTATCCATATGTGTTTTTACAAATCAAGATAAGACTTAATCTTCAACCTGTATTCTGGAAAATAAGAATACCTTGATCTTTAAGAATCTGGTCTCCATTAAATTTTAAAGTGGCAATAAATTTCTTTGAAGTACAGATGTGTTCTAAGTCTTGATTAACCTGGTTCCTTTCATCACATCTTGACTCCCTTTGCATCCACAAAGACCATCCCAATACCCAAAAAAGGACTCTGGAAGGGAGTTGAAGAGCCCTAGTCATTTAAATGTCTACTGTTACATGTCTGTGAACAGAATAATCCTCTCATCCTTTTCTTTCCAGCCTCATTTCAGTCAGTGCCAGCCAAAGCAGCCACTGTTTGGGAGTGCTGGGGCAGAGCTGATCCCTGTGCCAGGGCTGCAATCATTGGGTGCTGGCAGAGAAATGTTCCCTTGAATTGTGACACAGCCATTTTCATCTCACAGGATGAGATACAGGAGAGGTCAGTGTAATCACCATAACCTACTCCACACATCTTCTGCATCGTGAATGCTTTTCTTTCATCTTCCCCAGAGCTGTATCATTTTGGTACTGAATTGGTCACTACCTGCCATTTACTTGAAAAACTCACAAATTCAAGGCTGTGAGATCTTGCTGATATGTTTGCCTGCTTGGGAAGTGTCTTTCTGTAAAAGACAGGAGCCCACTCTCGTACTGACTCATGACAACCTTCACATTTGTGTTTACATTCTTCAGGCAACCATCAGAAAACATGCTGAAAAACAGAGGCCATAGAGGAGGACAAAAATCTGTAAAATTATCTGGGTTACAATTATCAGCCTCAAACAGTTCATGCTTTATTTCTAACCTTCAGTACCAGCTGAGAGCCTGGAGACATCAATATTTTCTACCTCTAATTTAATCACTTCCTGTGCACTGAATAATATTATATCTCTTTGCAGGCTAGATATTAGCAACACCATTAACTAATCATTAACTAATACTTTCAAATAAGATTTGATTCAGAATTTTGTGCCTTTAGAATAAATAAATAATATCTTATCATTATCATTATCTTACCATTAACAATCTTGCTTTTTAATATAATTTACTACATAATAAACAATTTTATGTCTTCTTAATGGCACTCATCTATTAAAATAACAAAATTCAGGTAAAAAATTTGGAAAAAAATACATGAAAGGATCTGTTATAGAGCAAGTAAAAATTACATAAGGGGCAAGAAACTTTTAATCTTTGGAAATTCTCTTGAAATGCAATAAATTCATTATATCACTGTCTAGTTCATAATTGGTTGTCCCTGGAAGGGGAGATTTTGGGAACTGTAAGACTCACAGAATGAAACTATGATGAAATACCTGTAGGGATACTAAACATTTTGATTCCTTTTGTGGTTATTTTTTAATCTCAAATCAATAATATGATATCCCCAGAGTGTCATACTTTAGCACAGATGATCTCATCACTTTCTTCTTTCCTTTAACAGGAAAAATATTTAGAAACAATTCGATAAATGTAATGAAGCTAAACCTCAATAAAAGACTAAATTGTGCAGAATTTGATGTAAAATAATCTTGAAGAATTCATCAATCCAGTAGTAAACACATATCCATTTCTTCATTGTTCCATTGTGGAAAAGTGGATGCTGGCACATGGAGAGCTTGTATTTTAGCTTGTAAAGCTGGCTTTTATAATGGGTGGGTGTTGGGAGACCACAAACAAAGGGTCAGACAAGGAAACCAGAAAATTCACTGCCATGGAAGCAAAACTTAGGTGGAAATTACTTCCATAAGTGAGCATAGAATGAGTGGCTGCAAAAGAAAATCTGTAGTTAGTATTCCATGAATCACACACTGGTTTTATGAAAATAATGGAAGACTGAATTAGATTTGAGCACATGTGGTTTGTTCTCCTCAAATCTGTGAATTGGCCTGCACTGGATTGGGGTGCAGAGAAGAAATGCCAGAGTATATAGCCAGTATTTTGTGCTAGAATGCAGGTGAGGTTTGAGAATACAGCAGACCTAAGGAAGAAAGAAAAAAATCTACATGATTTCACACACATCTAATAAGCAGGCCCAGAAGGAGGATCACACCTCAGTCCCAGTGGCAGTCTCTCCCCGGAGCTGAGGAGTAGCACTGGTACCACACAGAATCAGCAACATGTGTTTTCATATAAATAAGCCACATCTGTGAGCACCACCTTTTCTTTACCTATCTTTTTATACATATGCCTCCCTGCCTTGGATGATTAAATCATTCTGATGGAGCTAGAAGCCTTTAGCCCTCCAGCTGCTGCAGAGACTGAAGTAACATTTTGAGAACGGGAAATAAACTGTGTGTCATCTGAACTATTTTGAAATATGCTGTTTCTTTTGCCGTTCACCTGCATTTCGGTGCTCCACGCCTGTTTATTTGTACCGGTCCCCTTTCAAGCAGAAACACTCTTGAGCACCTTGTCCACATAACCAAACCCTCTCTGACCAAAGGACTGCAGTGCATTTTTTCAAGGAATTTTCAAATCCTATAGTGGATCATCTGCATTCCAGGGGGAACAGACCTCTGCCAGCACTCACCTTTATGTTTAGACTCGTAGCCTCCAGGAAACCACAGTGCCATTCTTGCACATTAACTCATTTGAAAAAGTTTTTTTTCTTTATGTGCAATGAAACAAAAGGTTAAGAACAGGAATGTTTGTAACTATCATATCAGTTTTCTCCTCATGTTTTTGTCAAAGGTTGCCCGCTTGCTGTTCCAGTAGAGTATGATACTTTCCGGTGTTTTCTATGTACAAAAGAGTTGCTGCAGGGACACCAGCCTTTTACAGAGAGACATTTATTCAATAGCTTTAAACATAAGAAGCAAAAACAACTGCTTTAAAACTAAATATCCTTTGCTTCAGGCAGTTGCTGTTTGAGAGGTAAATGAGGTCAAGAAGATGATGTGGTGTGTGTAAATTTAACAAGGCAGAACCTGGCAGAATAACTCATAGGCCTGGATCACCGAGTGCTGCTGTGTCCTTTGCCTGGATGCAAACTTTACATGAACAAAGGAAAAATGGGATTTGTCTACTAAAAAATAGACTGTATTGAAAAATAGGTCAGCATGCCATGTGCAATTCATAATGCATATTACCTTAAGTATTCCTCAGGGCTTGACCCTGAAATGTGAAAGGCATTAAAAAAACAGTTCCAGGACAGAAAGGAGACAATACCTTCTGTATTTTCCTAGAATAAAGGTCTCCAATTCAGCCTTATTCCTGTACCACATCAGTGCATAATGCTAAAAAATTCAGGGGCACACTGAAAGACAACTTCTAAAAGGAAGAACTCTTGTAAAGAAAGGGGCTGTCAAAAATCATCGTTTTTAAAAAAACAAAAAAACCGAAGTACATTTTTATTGTGATGAACACATAAGAATATCTCTTTTATTACTGTTGGGAAAACAGTGGAGCTGTACTTTCTCTGAATTAGTAGGTATTTAGACAGACCTGAGACTCACAAATAAAGAGCTGTAGATAGAATGAGTTTATGAAAGGTGAGATGAAGCATAACTTCTGCATTTCATACCATTCCAGTCCCTCTCCCATGAGTACTCAGATGACTGTGATTTTTCTAAATACTGTTTGAGAAGGAGGTTTTGCTCATAAAAATATGAATAATGATGTTTTAAAATCTGTTCATTCCAAGAGCATGTGCTGCCCAGATTGCTCAGGAGCAGTAAAGGATACAACCAGACACCAAGTTAAACACAAAAAAGTTAGGATGTGACAGAAATAGGTAAACAACCCTGTTCAATGTCTTTATGTATTTGCAATATTAGATAATTTTAATTATATAATCCTAAATTTTCTTTCCCCCATAGATATTCCAGATAGCCACATTATAAGAGCTCAAAAATACCTGTTTATCATAAATTTGATACTGCTTAGAGGCATTATTTTTTGTTTTGTAGGTCATATCCCTCATATTTCTGAAATATACAGCATGAGGTTACAGAGCAATCCAGGCACTTCCCCTGACCACAGCGTGGTGGGGCCAGGAGGAAGCTCAGCTCTTTGTGAGACCTCAGGATCTTGCAGCACCACACCTCACCTGTCTTCACTAAAGACTGGCCAGGATTTCCCCTTTGAGCTTTGCTCACATGAAGGACTGATTTAAATATTTATTCATGGTATGGAAACTGTGGAACAGAAGCAGGTCTTCAAGGTAGAACATATGATTTCAGCTCAGCATGAAGCAAAATAAATGTTTTCCAAAATAATATATCCACTAAGACTTTTTGATACCAATTAGGGTAAATTTTTACTTGCACACTATTAGGATATAAATCCTAGGTCATGTAAATGTTGAAAAAATTACGTGAGCCCAAGGGAGGTCTAGCAAAAGTCTACTGGTGACAAGAGATATACCTTAACCTTCTCAACATTTTTATAGCTGCTGTTGAAACATGTAAGATACTGTTCTGATCCCATTTCTGCTACAGCTCCTGAAGATTTACAACAAATGAATGTTTTGCCAAAGGTAATTATTCTAGGAAAAACTCTATCAGTTTAATGGGGGAAGAAATTGAGTAGAATGCTTATTTTTTATGCTACAAGAGGTCAAATATCTGCTTTCATTTGAGTGAATGGCTTTGGGGAGTTGTGGGCAGTTAGTTTTCAGTACAATCTATTTTATTCAGATATGAGATCTACAACACAAAAGAGGGAAAATTTAAGCACTGCATAATGTATGTCTAAATCAGGAAGAACATATATTATAAATTATTTTCTTAAAGGAAATTGATTCATATTTTCATTGTCCACATGAGATGATAATAAGACTTATCCCTTTTCCTTTCCTTTGACAAAGCCTGGTTTCAGTTTTACAGAGGATAAATAAGTGAGAGGGAAGTTAAATGATTTGCCCAAGGTCACATAAAAAACTGATAGTGGAATCAGAAATTGAACCTACATTATCTGATTCCCTGAAAGGTTTAGCTACTAATATGCCCATTTTTCCTATATATTTATTTTTATTTCACTTCTGTGTTTGACATTTCAGGCAGTATATTTTTACATCCTTTCTTTGTTAATCTTCATAAGCTTTACAGAGTCACAATAGCAGGACAGACACCATATCAAATATCTGCCATGTACAGGGCAATAGCTGCCCTCACCCAGGGCCCAGAGTTAGGCAAGAATAAATTAACACCATGTCCAATAATTCACTCATTTCTGCTACTTGATGTAATATATATGTCAACCAGAGGACTGATGGCTAACTTCAAATACAAAGAAAGACAACTCAAGGGCTTGGAACTGGGTTTTTTTCAAAATCCTTTGTATTTATTAGGGGTGGTTTTTCAGCAGATAATCAGCTAACTGGATTTGTTCATAACAGCCAGTCTCACACAGCTCTCAAACTCCTAAACATGAAAGAACTGGAAAATCTGTGTGACACAGGAAAAAAGAGTGTCATTTTTAATCTTCTCTTTCCAACCCAGCAAGGCAGGCAGTGTGACAGTCTCACTGGCCTCTGTGTGCAAATGAACATGACAGCTGAACTCACTTGTCCTTCAGCAGGGCAATGAAGGATGGGCTTGGCAGCTTTGCTGAACTGGGACTGTTTAGCTCAATGTGCTTGAAGCCCTTTTGAAGCAGGACTGCCCCAAATGTCCTGCCAGTGGATACATGAACTGAGAAGGATGAGGTTCATGGATCTCTTGGCAGATGGAATCCAGCATGGGATGGTCTTCAGCAGAAGGTCCTGCCCAGGACTTGCTGCGCGCAGTGCGGAGCATCCAGCCTGCCAACCTCAGCGACACAGAGCAGGGGTTAAGAGCCTGATCATACAAACTCAGCCAAAGCTCCAGACAGCCCTTGTAGGACTCCTAAACTCCAAAGCTTTCCTCAGCCAAAGACGACCTGGGCCATAAAAGTGGTAGGTCTAACTTAGAAATACAAGACAAAACCTGGTGTTGGGGTGAAAGGGTTGAAAGCACAAGGATGTCAAAGAGTTAAATTCATTCAAGTGACCTTACAGCTGAGAGTGCTAAAAATGCCAGAGTGGGAAAAACCCTGATATTGAGCCTAGTGTTGTTCATCCTCTCCTTGTTTCAGAAGTAGAATTCTTGTGAAGATACAGCACATTCTCACAGACACTCTTGGGCCTCCTAATGGAGAGAGAGAGAGAGAAATCAAAAACTCAGACACCACAAAATCAGAGCCTTGTGATAAAACTGCACGTTCATGAAGCCCTTAGATACAGTGGGGCAGGCAGGGGCTCACACACACACACTGCTAGGATGAACTGAGCCTACAGCAGCCTGTGTCCCTGTGTGCCTGTGGGCACTGGGGCGAGCTGAGCCTGAAGGAGGCTGTGACCCCACGTGTCTCTGCCACCTGGCCTTGTTAATAAGGCAATTAAATAAATCTTCTCCTCGCCTTTCAGCTGTGGTTTGGTGGTCACCCTGGTTACCTGCATGTGTGGATTCACATACCTTGGAAACAGCATCAAAATGTTGCATGGTATTGAACAGATCCTGGAGTTATCTTCTGTGTTTTGATTTGCTCCTTAAAACAAAAAAATCAATGATACCAGCCAGAAGAACCTTTATTTTAGATATTTATAGGTGTATCACTTTCAATATGTTTAATAAAATAGTCTTCTGCACAGACCAAGCATTTTTTATGGTTGTTTCAGCATGTTTTATTCCACCTTGGCACAGCAAATTTCCCTTAAAACAGAGATTGGTTTCAGTACTTCATCTGCACAGGGCAGTGTAACTTCAACTTATTATTTATGTATAATTGCAGTTTGCCTGAATTAGACTGTAATTACAGCCTAGAACCCACAATTCTGCATCCATTTCAACTTTCAGCATTTTTTTTTTTATTGTTAAGATTTAGTTTCTATTTTTTCAGATTCTTTTGCACCAAGTAGAAAACCAGATGAATCTTTCTGAAGCTGTGTGTATAATTTAGGCTGTAATGCAAAAGTGTGTCACCTTTATCAATTTTTCACAGATCTTATAACAAAACATGGAAAGCTGATTTCTTTGCCGAATTCTTTCCCCCTTTTTAAAACATAAATTGTCTTGCCTTTTTTTAATGCAGACAGACAATGACCTTGTACTTTATATGGAGTGCTTCATCCTTGTAATCTCAGAGCACTTTATAAATAGATAGAAGACATCAAAGAAGGAAAAGAGTGCTCAAGGGCAGAAGCATCACACCATGGCTCTTATTAAGGTAGTAAACCATCCTTTACTTAAAGGGACCATCCCCTGTATCTTTTGTTTGTTAATAGAGTTACTGCCTCCTCCAATTTACCTCATGTGTCATGGGACTAAAAGGAGAGCTGAATCAATCAAAAAATTTCACAGAAAAAAAAAATAGGTGTGATTAATTTGCTTATTACTGCAGAATTTCACCTTGGGAAGTCTTTCAGCAAAAAGAAATAGCCTGGAACATCACCTTCCTCACAAAAATAAAAAGCCCACCATCTCTCAGACAAAATCTACTTTGAACTACAGATTCAGGACAGAGGCTTTGCAAAGCTGCAGGTCCAAACTGGATTTGGCAATTGATATTTTCTCTCTTTAGCAACCAGGTAAAGTTAAACTCTTACGTCTGGATTAACCACTTTATCTCAGCCCAAGAAAATTTTAATATTCCAAAATAAAGTAAAACCTGATTATTATGTGTTTTACATTCAAAATATGCTTTATTGAATAACTGTTTTGCCAGAAAACAAACTCCTTTTGCTAAGAGACGTGGTATTGTGCTCTTCACCAGCACACACCCATTGAAACAAGCTGCAAAGGAATCTTCAAAGATAAGATAGCAGAGGAGTGTGGATACCCACTTTGTGATTACCAACACTGAAGCATAATCTGAATTGCAACATCAGTGTCTTCACTCCTACAAAACTTCACTGGCGGTTCCGTATCTATAGGTAACTAAGGCTGCTGGCCTATCAAAACAAATACAAAATCTGCTTTTTAAATAAAATATTTCTCTTTAAAAGTGGCTGCTTTCCATGAAATTTAAAACTCAAATAACAGGCTATGCACTGTTAGAGTTCAGAAATGCTGGTGTGGTGCTTTGTGGGGACAGCAGTGCAGGCCGCTTGCATTTCTGGTGCCTCAGGTTCAGACCTCTTCTGCTGCAGAAGAGCAAGGCACCAGGATCTGCAGCTGTGGTGGGGAGGGTTTCATCCCTTAGACAAAGCATAATCATGAACTGCTTCTACCTCTGAAAGTACAATGTGTCATTTTCTAATCAAAATTTTCCACTTTCTGCTGTTAGGCTGCAAGATCAGTTGCGATATTGTGTGGTTTCCTCTCCCTTCAAGTCACATCTTTTATAGTCAAAGGAAAAGAAAATGGTGGATTAAATGAACCCAAATGTGCTGCTGTTTATCTTCTGGATTGAATAATTTTATCAGGATCATCAAATTTCCATGAAACCTGTGTTTGTTCTTGCTGTACCGATGTTAACAAGAACACCCCCGCACAGAAATTGCTGAGCTCAGAGCTGGGACATTCTTACCGAGGGCTGACCTCAACATTTGTCAGACGTGCCGTGAACGAGGAGACATTTCGTGGCAGTGGTCTGGAGGATGGGTGCTGTGGTAGAAGAGAGATTTCCACCTCCCTTTAAGGGAGGTTTGTGCCCAGCACTTCCTCTCCCACGCAGGGGTTGTGGAGCAGCTGTATGTCTTGGGGCGGTGATCCTTCCTCCACCAGATTTATTGTACCTGCTCAACTCTGGGACATTTCAAGACACCTTCTTTTTTTTTTTTTCCTTATGTCCTTGAAAATCATCTAACCACAAAAGGTATAAAAAAGGTTTTAAAGAATTCCAAACAAATTTACACTCAAGCCACTGCCCCAGCAAGAAAATAAATATTTGTGGCCATGTCTGAGAAATGCATGACAGTCTCCCAGTCTGGTTGCCAAGCCCGAAGGCAGCGCTTCTGCAGCCTGTGCAAGCAGCTGACCAGGGCTGTCTCACAGCAAATATTTGAGGCTTGGCAAGAATACTGTGCTCTCCCCTTGTTTCCTGGATGGCATGTTTGCTCTGAATGAGCTCTTGGAGCATCAGGGTAGTACAAAAACGTTTTGGGATAAGATCTCATCCAGAATATATGCAGGATCCAGCGCCTACTTCCCTGGATGGTTAAGAAAGTGGGAGATTTTTCCTCCTGAGAGACAAGTTTATCTTGTTGACATATCTGGTTACTAATTCTATTTTGAAGATAAACAGAACTATTCACACTGAAGGCTGAGCTTTTAAGCATTGGAAGTGAGGAACTCAAATATACAAGATAAGAGAACAAAATGAAGAAAAAACAAGGTAATAAATTGTAGCAAGGACAGATACTGGGTTTTATTAGTGGTGATGTCAATTAAAAAAAACCTGAACAACCAAACTGTGTGTGGTCCTGGAATTCTAAACAAAAGCACTTAACAAATGCCATGAAAGGAATCTTGAGTTAATGTCAGAGCCCTTCAGTAACAAACACAGTGAAATCTAACCAATAACTACAGCATCAAAAGGTGTGTCATGATTTATACTGACAAATTAAAGGTAATGAGATTTGCCAATGGAAATCCTGAAGCATCTTTTCAATTCAGTAGAATGCATCTATGTTTCCATTATTAAACTATTTTATAGCCTGCTGCAGGGTAGTTTATTCACACACTTTGGAAATATTAGTGCTAAAAATGAAAAGGCAAAATCAGAAAATTAATTAAAAGAATGAAAGGTGCAATTTCAAACCCAGGTGGAGGCACTGTCTTGCAAAGACCCCACTTCCTTTCAAGCCCTTAACAGACCCTGCCTATGAGTAACACAGAGCAGCTTAGATCCAACAACAGAAAGAGAGCTGCACACATGGATTTACAGAAGAAAGGAGAGGTATTGTTCTTTTACTAATTAAAAAATCCTGACTAAAACCACCAACTCAAGCTTTGGAATTCCACTAGAGTTTTAAATAAGGCCACAGTTGCTCTGTTTGGGAAGCCTGGGATAGCCCACACAGCCCAGTGCTACAGAAACCACTAAATTCTAAGAGGCCTATTAAAAGTAGGAAAAAAAGCAGAATTTGAAGTCTCATGACCTTAAACCAAAATAATCTTGTGACACCCAATACATGTAGAAAGTTTGCAGAAACATGTGATAGGGATAGAACAAAACAAGAGTGGAAAGGAAGAATGAGGGAGACAGCAAGCAGAGAGGCAGAAGTTTATTCCTGGCAGGAGGTAACCCAACTATCAAGACACCTGGACTGAGAAGTGGGGCTTGCAGCCCCTCTGCTTCATTCAGAAGATAAAACCCCCCAAAAGCCAAAATCAAAACCCATTTCCAATCAAGCACTAATTAGAAGACATATTCCACTGAAGTTTGGTCTTTATTTTCTACAAAGTGAGCTCAAGATCAGAAATCTTAAAATGAGGGGGAAGAAAAAAAATAAAACCAGGGTTTTTTACATGTAAAAGTCTCATTATTTTAATCCACCCAATTTCATGGGTTTGACATTTGGGTTTACTATACTAAGAGCTGAATTAAGTAAACTAAGTTATGTGAGGGCAGCACTCATGGTGGACAATCATGTGTGCTACCATATGCAAAATGGCAGATTTATTTTGCTAGATTCATTAAAAAAGGGAATTTAACATGGTTAATTGCAAGAATTCACCTTCATCAGAAAAATTTAGCTCAGAACACTGCTTAATTTCCAGGTTGCAATTAAGAGCAGGAATAGCAGGTCTGTGACTTCTACCTTCATTAGAAAAAAGGTCAGCAATTCCATTTTGAAACAAAGGACAAGTCTACAAAATATTCTTTGTATGCCACTGCTGATTTTGCTGCTTATATTTTAGTTGCTGTCATTCACAGTGGTCTGTTCAGAAAATAAATGAAAATATTCGTCTCAGTATCCATGATAATTTGTATTTATCCATGCATTTATCATTTTTCCATGATAATTTGTGTTTGATGCTGATATTGGTTCTTACCCAGCTAATGTCTTTCAGAAGTCATTACCCTGCTTTACCTTGACACAAGTTTTTCTGTTTGTTCTTTCAGCAAGGTGAAAGATCTTCCATGTAGGGAATTTGTGCCTGCTGAGGTGGGTGCTTTGAGGGACTGGTTAAGAGAAATACACCTCCCAGGCTCGGTACTGACCTTTGGGCTTGCAGATGTGGAGCCTTGAATTTATACACTAACGGGTTAGGAAAGCACGAGGTTAGAAAGGAAGGGTTTTATTTTTGGGATTCAGGTCCTCACAAGTGGTAGAAGGACTGAGACTGGTCCATGAAGGCTGGTAGAGCCTGACCTGCAGCAAGCCCAGCTTGAACTCCACTCAGGGTGGGCTTGTTACTACTGCTGCTAATGGGTGAAGAGGATAAACCTAACCACACTGATATTGCAACCCAGTAAATTAATCTAAAGTAGATGATAAAGGTGGGTAGATAAAGATAGATAAAGATGGAAAGATAAACAAAATACATCAGCTTTCCTTGTGGTGGGAATGAGAGCAGATGGCTGCTCTGGCATCAGCCAAG